AAGCACAGCGACCGACGCCGAATGAACCGCTGGAAATCCTGAGCGTGGCTGCCACCTGATCCCTGACAAATCGTTTATCCCATTTCGTAGGATTGGTGGTTCTGGGCAAAAACTAATTATCCCAGTGCGACCCTACCTAGGAGTTGGAACCCCTAGGAAAACCGCATTAGTAGCAACAGCAACGCTAAGCTAAAGCTAAGCTAAAGCTAAGCCAAAGCTAAACCACAGCTAAGCTAAAGCTAAGCTAAAGGTAAGCTAAAGCTAAGCTAAAGCTAAGCTAAAGCTGAGCAGCAGCTAAGCTAAAGCTGAGCAACAGCTAAGCTAAAGCTAAGCTAAAGCTAAGCTAAAGCTAAGCTAAAGCTAAGCTACAGCTAAGCTACAGCTAAGCTCAAGCTCAGCTAAAGCTAAGCTAAAGCTAAGCTAAAGCTAAGCTAAACGCTAAGCGAAAAGCTAATTGAAACGCTAAGCGAAACGCTAAGCTAAAGCTAAGCTATAGCTAAGCTGAAGCTAAGCTAAAGCTAAGCTAAAGCTAAAGCAAAGCTAAAGCTAAAGCTAAAGCTAAAGTTAAAGCTCCCAGGGGACTGGGGGGAACCGCGGGGCGGGGACTGGGGGAACCGCCCGGGGCGATTTCCACTGCCCGGCCCCTTAAGCTAAGAGAGTAAGAACCCTTCTAGGCAGAGCCTAGGTAGGGAACATACAGGATCAAACGCACGCATTGCTGTCATTACATCTCGCGGGATAGGCCAGGCGTGCAGGGTCGATCCAAACAATGCCATAATGCCTCTCATTGGCACGGCGATGCCAGACGGAGTCAAAACTGAGGCGGTGCCGCTGAGTGCAGGAAGATGGCCGACCGAAGCCATGCGCGGACTGACCTCGAGAGGTCTCAGTGCGTTTCTTGGGCCATGTGTTAGCAGAAGCAAACCGGCGGCTCACTCGCCCTCGTCGCCCTCGGCGTCATCCCCGTCGCCCTCTTTATCCTTGGCGGAGCCCGCCTTCGGGGGGATGCCCCTCTTCCGCAGGTCAACCTTGAAGGCCTTAACCTCTTTCATGACACCAAGGCACGTGATCGCAGTCCTTTTCGCGGCGCCCTGCTTGAAAGTCTGGGGCGCGCGGTGCCCCTTGATTGCGACGATGGCTTCGGCCAACTTTTTCAAGAGACGGCGAATCGTGGAGCTCTCAGTCTTGAATTTCCCTGGGTTCTTCTGCAAGAAACTGAGATTGACCATGTCCAAGAACGACTCGTCCTTCTCCAGGGCACCCTTGAAAGTGGCGAGCCTCATCTTCACAGCGTCCTTGCCCACCCCCTCGATATTAGACATCTGTTCCATCTTGGAGGCGGCGCCTTTCCCCGCACCTGCCTTCTGCCCAGGCGTAGCCTTCTCCTTGATGCCAAGCGTCTTCGCCAGATCAACATCGAGCTTCTCAGAGTCTCCGTCCGAGGTTTCATCCTCTCCGGCGCCCATGTCGAAGTCCTCCCCGTTCAGTTCGTACGGATTTGCCTTCTGGAACTTCAGGAACGCCTTGTTGTCAAGGGCTTTGTTCGATTCCGTCTGCGTTTTCAACTTTTTGTTGAGCGTCGCAGTCACGGCCTTCTTGTCGGTCACCAGCTGGAACTCCCAGAATCGCCTGTCCTTGGGATCGCGCCGAGCTCTGACGCTACCAGATTTGACTCGCTCAACCAATTCTTGATTTCCCCAGCGCCTCTGTGCCTTAGTCAGCGGGAGCCACTGCTCCTCAACCGTCCTGGCCTTGCTGATGTTGATCTCCTGCATGTAAGACAAATAGTGACCGCCACACTGCCCCTTGTCCAAGATCCATTTCTTCAACAACTTCTGTTTTTTGGCAATTGCGCCGGCGCCCTTGGTGCAGTTCGCGTACTCCTCGGCATGGCCCTCGGCGAGCCTTGATTTCTCGAACATCTTCCACACGGACATCTGCGTCTTGGAGTCCAGCGCATTGAACTTCGCGCCCACCTCTTCGATCGTCTTGGCCCCTCCAGCCGCTGTCGTGACAAATTCATCGTGTTTTTTCAGGTTCTCTTCGGAGAGGCGCGCTGCGCCTGCCCAGAATGGTCTCTTCAGCGTGGCCTTGGCCACTCCGAACGAGGCGGGCCTTCTGAGTGCGGTCCTGGTGGCAGTCTTCGTCGGTTTGCCCATCGCGAATGGGCGCGCTAGCGGCACCACCAATGTTGCAAGTGGTTCGGAGATGCTCGCTTGGAGCGGGAGGGAGAACTTGAGCCGAGGAGGACATGGATAACAACAGAGATTGTATCAAGTTGGCCGCACTGGGCCTCTCTAAGTTTTTTCCCAACCATCCTGTGGTGTTGGGTCCTGGTTTTGAAGAGACGGTGCCCCGCGTCTCTCCTCCTCTCCTCCTCCTCCCCCTCCTCCTCCTCCTCCTCTCATCATCAGCATCATCATCATCGTCATCGTCACCGTCATCATCAGCATCATCATCATCATCATCATCGTTCTTATCACCATCGTCGTCATCATCATCGCCGTCTCCATCATGGCCACACGTTTCGTGGACCCATAATGAGCTCCACCGAAGGCCCCAGTGTCAGGGTCCGCATGCGGTTCCACCTCCATTTCGGCGCACCCCTCACACGTTTCGTGGCCCCATAGGGAGCTCCACCGAAGGCCCCAAGTGGGTCCGCATGCGTTCCACCTCCATTTCGGCGCACCCCTCACACGTTTCGTGGCCCCATAGGGAGCTCCACCGAAGGCCCCAGGTCCGCAGCATTTCGGCGCACCCCTCACACGTTTCGTGCTGGCCCCCAGGGTCCGCATGCGGCTCCATTTCGGCGCACCCCCACACGTTTCGTGGCCCCAAGCTCCACCGAAGGCCCAAGTGTCAGGGTCCGCATGCGGTTCCACCTCCATTTCGGCGCACCCCTCACACGTTTCGTGGCCCCATAGGGAGCTCCACCGAAGGCCCAGTGTCAGGGTCCGCATGCGGTTCCACCTCCATTTCGGCGCACCCCTCACACGTTTCGTGGCCCCATAGGGAGCTCCACCGAAGGCCCAAGTGTCAGGGTCCGCATGCGGTTCCACCTCCATTTCGGCGCACCCCTCACGTTTCGTGGCCCCATAGGGAGCTCCACCGAAGGCCCAAGTGTCAGGGTCCGCATGCGGTTCCACTCCATTTCGGCGCACCCCTCACACGTTTCGTGGCCCCATAGGGAGCTCCACCGAAGGCCCAAGTGTCAGGGTCCGCATGCGGTTCCACCTCCATTTCGGCGCACCCCTCACACGTTTCGTGGCCCCATAGGGAGCTCCACCGAAGGCCCAAGTGTCAGGGTCCGCATGCGGTTCCACCTCCATTTCGGCGCACCCCTCACACGCTTCGTGGCCCCATAGGGAGCTCCACCGAAGGCCCAAGTGTCAGGGTCCGCATGCGGTTCCACCTCCATTTCGGCGCACCCCTCACACGTTTCGTGGCCCCATAGGGAGTCCCAAGGTCAGGTTGCCACCTCCATTCGGCGCACCCCTCACACGTTTCGTGGCCCCATAGGGAGCTCCACCGAAGGCCCCAGTGTCAGGGTCCGCATGCGGTTCCACCTCCATTTCGGCGCACCCCTCACACGTTTCGTGGCCCCATAGGGAGCTCCACCGAAGGCCCAAGTGTCAGGGTCCGCATGCAATTCCACCTCCATTTCGGCGCACCCCTCACACGTTTCGTGGCCCCATAGGGAGCTCCACCGAAGGCCCAAGTGTCAGGGTCCGCATGCGGTTCCACCTCCATTTCGGCGCACCCCTCACACGTTCGTGGCCCCATAGGGAGCTCCACCTGAGGCCCAAGTGTCAGGGTCCGCATGCAGTTCCACCTCCATTTCGGCGCACCCCTCACACGTTTCGTGGCCCCATAGGGAGCTCCGCCTAAGGCCTAAGTGGCAGGGTCCGCATGCAGTTCCACTTCCATTTCGGCGCACCCCTCACACGTTTCGTGGCGTCATAGGGAGCCCCGCCTAAGGCCCAAGTTTCACGGTCCGCATGCAGTTCCACCTCCATTTCGGCACACCCCTCACACGTTTCGTGGCCCCATAGAGAGCTCCGCCTAAGGCCCAAGTGGCAGGGTCCGCATGCAGTTCCACCTCCATTTCGGCGCACCCCTCACACGTTTCGCGGCCCCATAGGGAGCTCCACCGAGGGCGCCAATGGCAGGGTCCGCATGCAGTTCCACCTCCATTTCGGCGCACCCCTCACACGTTTCGCGGCCCCACAGGGTGCTCCACCGAAGGCCCCAGTGGCAGGGTCCGCATGCAGTTCCACCTCCATTTGGCGCACCTCTCACACGCTTCGTGGCCCCATCGGGTGTTCCACCAACGACGATACTTACAACGGCGGCATTCGGAATTGCGTATGGTTGGGCCCTTCGCCAGGATAATTTAAAGCCTTCCGTGGATCCCTGGGCTTCTCTGGAGCTGCCTGACGCCTCGGATGCCTCTGGGCCTGGGGCCGTTCGAACAAGGCGAAAGTAGGCTAGTCTCATGATTTTCTGCCTTGCTGGCACGTGCTATCGAACTTATGATGATTGCCGCATGCTTTGTAGATGCGGCCCATGCGGCATCATGAGAATTCACATGAAGATCCATGAAGCCAAGAGTAAACCCATGAAGAACCATGAAGACCCATGAATGCACATGAAGCCCCATGAAGACCTATGAATTCATGAGTGTTCATGTGAATTCTCATGAATTCATGAGTCTTCATGGGTGCAAGGATGCCTCAGGCGGAAAAGGCCACCCCACCTCAGGGCACCACATTTGGAAGGTCAGATTTGCGAGGATGTCTCAGGAGAGAGTGGATGAAGCACCTCGCACGCGCCATCTCTGATCCAAACTTCCCGAGGATGTCTCAAACGAAACGGCGGGTTATCTGAAAGGCCTTAGAGAGGAGAACCCGAAATGCACCAAAAACCTATATAATCAATGATTGTTCCCTTTGGGGGCCTTCTTGGGGGTGCTCTTGGAGGCCTCTTGGTACGTTTTGGAG